CCTGTTTCTCTTCCCCCAAATCTAATCATCAGTAAAATTGTACTCAGCCAGCTGTTAAATTTCAGATCAGTTAGTATATTTCATGCATTGAAAGACTGACAAAATATGAAGTCATATAGCCGCAATAAAATGCCACAGTGATACCAAGAGAAGTGATCGCCAAGCTTGCAAAGCTTCACACAGTCTTGGATTTTGTTGTAATACCTAACTAGATTCAAGCCAATGGTGGAAAAATGTGGTCTTTTTCCACATACTCTTTTGAGAGCTTAAACCAGTTGTTAATTATTAGATATTTATGTAAAACTGATTAGCTCATGTCATCTCCTGTGCCATTATTCACAGAGTGTATGGCATCTTAGCATTTTGAGAACAGAAAGTTCATTAATTCATTTAGTCATAAATCCTTACATTTTGTTGATACACCTGTATTGAACCAACTGCCTTGTGTCTGAATGAAACATAATTTGGGTTTTGGCTACACAAGTATTTGAAGGCGTCAACAAACAAAATCAAACATTGCAAGTAGCTCCAATCCTACCACAACTGCTCTGTCAACATGCCTAATACTGTGATATTTATTCGTTCACCTATTTATAGTCTGAGCATGGAAGTTTAACTCTAAAGGCTTTATATACTATTTACCACATACATTTTCTGAAAATAGTGGATTTAACGTATGTACATACACATACATGTGTGTGTGCGTATACATACACATTGACTCCACAAAAGGCTGCCCACATGGTTTGATAAATATAGACAGATAAATAGCTAGGTAAGGTAGATATGACAACCCGGTAGCATTACTGATTGCTGAGGTCACCCAAAATTTTCTGCTGACAGATTGCTTAACGGTTGCAAAATTTTAACTATATCAATTGAAATGTTGCATGCCATATTTATATGTTAAAATGCCTTAGACTTTTCTGAAAATATAACTAAGGAAAAAAATGTGGGTTTACTCATAGCAAAAACATAGCCAATGATTTTTTTCATTAAGAAGCCCTCAACCTGCCTGCTTTGGAGCTGGGACCTAAAATACTCCAAGGAGCCTTCCAGAGTGTCAAGAATTTGAGCTATAGCATTTTTATAAACATTCAAAGTTGTGCACTTCAAAAGCATCTGGAAAAAAAAGATCATAGCTGTTTAACAGAGACATATTAGTTTGGCAACTAAATCTCACATAGGTTCAATCTCAGTTAAGTGTTCTTGATCACAGAGTTTCAAGACTGAACAAGACTTCCTCCCTAACTCTTTCTGGCAGATGAAGCTTCCTGTAGTGTCTGGCTTCCCAAGAGGGGGCGTGGAAGTGGTCTTCCACCTTCAGCATTGCAGCAGCTGATGCACCAAGAGGAGCCAGTGGTCATACCAGAAACATATTAGATGGGGATTGTACAGATGGGCAAAGCTGGAGATGAAAAGAAGCCATGGCAGGAGCTTGTTAGAAGAGTGGAGAAAAAAGGAGAAGAAATGGGATGAGGAAAAAGGGTGGATTTTTGTGCCTGGTCAGAAAGATACTTGAGAGGTGCCCAAACCAGCAGGCCTTTTGCCAGTGAAACACCCTCTCCTAAAACGTGTTAAACTGAGCTGGCAGAGCAACATCTCTGTATTCCTATACTGTCAGAAAATAGGTATTAACTTCACTGATAACAGGTGTCCTCATCTTCCTCCCTTTTCTGCTCAATGGACATTCCCAGCCTCCTTATATTCCCAGGTACTCTGTTAGCATCTGTGTCCACACTGTGGAGCTACTGGTCCAATCCCTGCAGATTACCCCAACTGGGGGGATGCACGGTTCCAGAGGACCCTGTTTTCAATTAGGGAATTATATTTAAAATATTCATTAAGATATATTGTTGCAGTCCTTGTAGCAGTTTTACATTATTTAATGCTGTGGTCATAGATAGTTCTGGGTAACTCCAGGAATAGAACTGCCACCCCCTCACAGAAAATGGATTGTTTGACATTTTTATTAGCTCCAGCCTTTGTTCCATGGAGATGACAGCCAGTTACCTACATTGGCATGACTGGTAGGAAAGTAGGTAGCAAGCGCAGCTGACAGCATCTTGCAAGTCTGTGATGCTAAATCAGCATCACTGCCACGTGCCTCTTCAATGAGGACGGGATGTGGAGGTAGAGTCGTGACAGTATGTTCCAAGGTGTCCCTGCGGTTCTTCCAGTTTGCTCTGTCAATGTTTCATCTGGGGTTATTAGTGTTTATAAAAGCATGCCCTTAAAATAGCTGCATGGTGTTAATAGAGGCAAAAATAGCAGTTCTTGTGCCTAACTTCTTCATACTGGGGTAAAATAGGGCTAAATTGGGCACATACAGAAATCATAATAGCACAATCCAGTTTAAGGGTGACTTTCAAATCCCCTTCAGATCTTAAAGAGCACTGAGTTTAAGCTAAAATCAGACCAGGACACATTCTTTCCTGCTCTACAGAAAATCCTTTTCCCTTTAACAGGTACAAAGTTTGGGGTGGCTTTTGCTTAGAGATTGATAAAGTCTATTCACTAAGTCCTCCACTCACAAGTGGAGCAACCATGAAATTCTCCAACTTCTGAAAAACACATTATTTCAGAAAAATCATTCAGATTTGCACTGGCACCTGTAAAATAACCATGTGTATCCTACTGTGGTGGGCTGACCCTGGCTGGATGCCAGGTGCCCACCAAAGCTGCTCTATTACTCCCCCTCCTCAGCTGGACTGGCGAGAGAAAATACAACAAAAGGCTCGTGGGTTGAGAAGGACAGGGGGAGATCATTCACCAGTTACCATCATGGGCAAAACAGACTCGACTTGGGGAAATTAGTTTAATTTATTACCAATCAAATCAGAGTAGGATAATGAGAAATAAAACCAAATCTTAAAACACCTTCCCCCCACCCCTCCCTTCTTCCCAGGCTGAACTTCACTCCTGATTTTCTCTACCTCCTCCACCCAGCAGCGCAGGGGGA